CACCCTCGTGGAGCTGACTGTGGTGTGCTCGGTACATTGTCATGCTCGGGTGGAGCTGGTTGTTGCCATTAGCTTTTCCTTCCAACTACCAATGTAGCGCACTTCAAGCTGTGCAGGAGGTTTTTGGAAGCCAGGCAAGGACTGTGGCAGGCTACCCCGAAGGGAAACCTCCTCTTTACCCCAGAAGCAGGATGATCAGTCCTTCAGGCCTTTTTTTGGGAAAGACCGGAGGCACTAAGAGAGTCAGCAGTGCACATAGGCAAAAGTAAAACATGCAAGGCAGAGAAGGTGAAACACAGACTCTCGTCTCGTCCACCAAGTAGTTTCGAAATTAGGTGTACAAAAACGGATTCTGAATCGGAAAATCGATTTTTGAATTAAAAGATGCGAGTGGCATTCGGTAACACCCGTGCGACTAGCATAGAAATGCGGTCACTGAATGTCAGCCTTGAACCGGCCCCCCGATGCCCGATTCACACACAGTTATCCCCACGATGTCGGTCTTATGCTACTGTGCACGCAGCAGCTGCTGCATGCAGCAGCACTGCTGAAAACTGCATCTCTCTTGACCGTCTCTCCGCTCCTCAACTTAAAACTCTCGCGAGACCGCATCTGTTTCCAGTACGTCAGATAGCGCTGTGACTTCTGTGAGGGAAACGTTCTAAAGAAGGATTGCCCACCAACCGCCTCCGGCAAGTTTAAAGTCTAAAGCGTGGAAGCAAAGTTCGGATCTTCTATTGAAATTGAGTAACTGGGATAAAAGCGTTGCTATATGCAAAGACTGTACAAACTGCGATAAAGTACTCCGGTAGTTACGACAAATCTCCACACTCACTTGTGAGACGGCAATGGAAGGACATTTTTTTGACAAACTTTTAGGAAGGATGCCCCATTTACAAGCTTAATGTCATTTTATGAAATAATTGTCTACCTTTCAACAATGAAAAAAATTGGCATCATACCCTCTCGACATCGAATCGAAAATCCTTCCTGAATCGGAACTGAATCGAATCCGTTCATTTAAAATGTAAGCGCTTCTAGAATCGGTGAACTGTACCTCGAGATACGCATCGAATTGTCTTTTCTATTGGAGAGATGCACCCCCTAGTTCCAAATAAACAATGATTATACCAAGAAACCCGTTTAACGAGGTATCTCTTCCTGTGGTGTTCCGCTGGGGCATGGTCACCAGTGTAGATGCCTTCATCCAAAATGTGACATTGGAGTAGTGAGAGGATCACCATCGAGGTCAGCTCATGCCTCCCAAACAAATTTAAATCGACAGATCCTTTCATTGACAAACTTTGGTCACCTTGTTGTGAATGGTATAGAATTTTCATTCTGAGGTTTTCCTTTGGTTTTCCGCTGGCCGATCGAAATCTCGATCTGAGGTCTCTGTGGTGGTCAGTGAGTGTTTGCCCGGGGTTAAGCACCAAAGGTCCCTCTTGGGCCACGGTCCAATCGTTTCCTCCAATCACCTGCGCCAGAGCTGTAAAGGGTCAAGAAAATCTCCATCAGGCTTTCAGAATCAACAGCTCAGAAGGCACGAACAGCAAGTAAAAACATACATAGATGGAAAGCATTCACACTGGAAGATGTGAGAAAGAAACTAGTACTCTTTTACACATGTTGTATTTCTGTGTAAAAAAATAAACACCTGTTGGAGGATGTTACACTTCTCAATTTGTTTCAATACAGTTGAACATTAAGGAGGATCTATTGGTAGAATATGGTATGTTTTCATTAGTGTATGGCTTCAAATACAGGTTATAGAATAACGCTGAGTCACTGGAAACAGTCTAGCCCATGTTGTTTAAAGGAATGAATAGAGTTACATACAGAGAAGATATTTATGAACCATTCTGGAGCTCCTTTCTGGCCTTGATAGAGGGAATATGAACTGTTAGGTGTAACTGTAACTATACTCAAGGCACCTTTTATGTTTTATTTATTTTTTAAATTATCACTATTATTTTTTGCTGTTGTTTTCTGTTTGATTTGTGTTGTCGACGGTGGTATTGAGTATGCAGCCTGGGTTAATTTAAGGGATAATTGTCTGTTTGTGGACTTAAGTCTGTTATACGCCACTTTGTTTTGTTTGTTAGGTTGTTGTCTTTGTTATCAGTTTAAAAAAGAGGGGACTGTGAACATTTGAATGTTATGAATATCAGGTATTTTAACATCTGTAATGATCAGTTGTCTTTTCAGAAATATCAAAATAAAAAATGATCTGGCTTAGTATGTTGTAAATTATGTTCAGTTATAGATGTGTTTTCATTGTAATGAGAGCACTGGGTTGGAACAGTGAGAAGCTGAACCTGGCTCATCTTGTCCCACAACATAATGCACCACCATCCAACCAATCATATAACACAAGCAAACATTAATCTGTAATGAGAATTTTTATACTGTTTACCTTGTGTTTGTGGAGGATAAAGTGACTGTGATAAGCTTAATTTGCAACATCACAGAAAAAGAGACAAAGATACCTACATTTAACATTACAAATGTTTAAGATAATTAAGCTCCATATCATTTTTTTCCCTTTTCTCTTTTTGAATCTCTCTGAAAAGCTGGAGTGATTGTTCCATGTATAAAAAAAAATCTCCTGTTTGATCAAAAATGTTTCCTGTCAAAAAGATCAAAGATGCTGCCAGCCAAAGGAGTGGATTTTTGTTCAGGATTTGCAAGAAGTAAATGTTGCAATCAACGCACGTGCACCAAATGTTCTAAATCTACACACATTCTTCTCTAAAATTAAATATGAGAGTAAATGTTTTTTTGTTGTTGATTTGGCTAATGCATTTCTTCAGCATCCCAGTCAACCCTGACGTTCAGTAGTGGTTAGCATTCTCCTTTAAAGAAAAGATGTTTACCTTTAGCTATTTATGCAATCTTTAATGCAGCATTAAAGAAATATTTTGAATCACTCAATCTAACATGCCATACAGCTAGCTTATCTAAACTGGAGCTTATCTCTAAAAAGGTCATCTTTCTGGGTCATGTAATCAACTGACTTTACTGGTTACACATGAAGTGTCAATGATTCTACTTGAACAAAAAATTATAATTTTTCAACAGCAATGTAATAAGATACTATCACCAAAGTTAAAATATGAAATTGTTATTAACTCTGCTCCTTTTCTCCAAACTCCAGGTGATGGACAGCTGCATGAACTTGTTGTAACCCAAACAAACTGCTATCTGAAAAAGTGAAAAAACAGTCTAACAACCTTGATTCTATCTCCCAGGGCAATGCCAGTGCTGACATAGCTGCGAAGGCCGCAACCGAACAATGTATTGCTTTGACTAACTCACCATTAACACCTACAGTTAATTTGCAGGAATTGCAGGCAACAGAGAAACTCCAGAGAAAAACGCTTTCATTCACTAACAAAGTGTGGCAAGTGCCATTTACCAAAATATCTATTTCCCTACTATGATAGGTTGACACATGGGAAGGACCATGTATCAGAAGGGGGTATGGTGAGGGAAATACAGAAATATAGTTTCACAAAGGTTCTCTAATTTCTCCCATAAATTTTGCATAAATTATGTGTAACAAACTGATTTCATTGAACTAACATAAGAATAAGAAATATTGTCTCATCATTGTTGATATGTTTTTAATATGCAACAGCAGTTGCAAAGGCCCTAATCAAAGAAAAAAATGCAAAAATCAAGGGATAATCTTTCATAAGTTCAACACTGGAAAGTGTAGGCATGAGACAGCATTGTGCCTAACAAAAAAAGAGAAAATGGTACATTAGAAAACAAATTTGCAAAATGTTGCATAGTAACAGGTTTGACGTGGACAAAAAGCACTACTAATTGTTTAAATGCACACAAGGGCCAGAAAGCTGCATCAAGCAAAGTCACCAGTCCAACGAGCGAGGGGTGAA